GTTTATTTTTGTAACTTTTGTTCTAAATGTGTGCTTTTCTACTCAGAAAAGTAAGAAACTAAACATTAGTGCACTTTGATTTATTTATTTTGGTAATTTAATTTAAATACCTGTAGGATTTTGACAAAACTTTGAAGGGTACTGTAGCGCTACCTTCGCCTCATCTTATGCATATATATTGCTGCGCTACAATTTATTGTTCTAATTTGTGACAGTTCTATAAATGTCACTTCAAAATAAAGTTGAAAAAGTAAGCAAGTATATATTTTTTGTCATTTTTTTTCAGAGATTTGCTGAGAACTTACTTAATTTTGGCATACTTCGATATATATCGTTATTGTGATATAAAATAGTCCATATCGTGATATATGATTTTTTCCATATCGCCCAGCACTACCTGACTGTAGGTCTGTATTTATTTTAATGCTCGACAAGTAGATATGGGCTTTGTCCAAATGTCTGCTCTAACCACTAAATGGGGACCTATATAGGGCCCACGCCATTTACATGAGGGTCCGAATGTCTAGTGGATGAAAAAGTAGTGGATTCGAAATATCCCACAATGCACCTTGAAAAGTAGTGATCATCCATGGTCTCTAGTCGAGCAGATATACCTCGGAACAAATATGGGGCAGGCAGCGTGCGGGGAGGCGGACCAACGGGGAGCAAAAAGTAGTGATCATCTGTTCGACTGGTCAGTTAACGAAGTTCACTATTAATTCTACTATATAGTCTCTGCTATATATAGTATTTAGGGATTTAGGGGTTAGGGAGGACGTTCAGACACAGCCACTGTCTGGAAGCACCAAATCGGGTGGTAAAGGAACTTGAAACACTGATGCCTGATGTGCAAAAATGCTGACATACGTTGGATAAGTTATGGGTACGATTTGTATAAGTTATGAGCCCACTATATCCCGCTGGCAAGCGGTAAGTACGTCGAGAAATTTTGAGCATGCTCAGAATTTCCCGACATATGCCAGCCTATGCTCATATCTGGACCATAAGTTTCAGGTAAGTTATCTGAGCGTGAAAATTTGTGTGATGGATCCTCCCTGCGTTCACGGCCACGACCAATAAACGTCCCAGCAGACAAGACGCTGAATCTGCTGGGACTGCAAACCCTCCTTCTTACTTCTTCTTTTTCCTTTATATTTATTTTATTTTTATTTTTTTGGCGGCCGTTTAACATTAGCTAGCTTAATACTGCGATCAAAGAAATCTGTTTATGCAGGCCGGGCACCTCGGGGTGTGTTGCTGCTTCCCTCAGGACACTGGTTGTTGTTCAACATTAGTTATGGACTTGTTATGAATACTTGCCTATGTCAGCGTTTTAGAGGATTCTGAGACGTCAGGCATACGCTGGCTAAATTGTCAAGGTGTGACAGGGGCTTTAGCAACAACGTTTTTGTTGATATACAGATAGAAATGTTTATAAGTTTGCTATGGTTCGGAAAATTAGTCATTTGAAAGAGTGAGAGAGTTCTGTAATAGCATGCTTTAAAAGATTAGAAACCAACTAATCTGAGCCGTCTACATTTTTTTTTGGTAAGTTATGTACTATCTATACGTATTTTGTTAAAAAAAATTCCAGTGTATACAATAGTTGACTGCCTGGAAAAACACAAGTTTGACTTTGTATT